CTCTACAGAAGGAAACACCCCAAAGTTGAGGGCTGTAATGCAAGTGCAGGAGCTGGCAGTACTGGAAGAAGGCCAGGCCCAGTTCACATCATCTTGTTCGGCCCATACATTATTCTACTGCCACCTGCGTGCCAGGTTTCCATTTGTGTAACCACACAAGGCCTTATGTCTGCAACTGGCTCTGCATTGCCTGCCCAGAACCCCACTGAGATCTCTGAGCGGATCCCGGGGCTGCTGGGGGTCTAATTGCAGGCCTGGGCCCAAGTGCCCATGGTTTCTTTCTCCATGTCAGAGAAGAGGGATATATCACAAACCTATGGAGCAACTCCAAGACATACCAGTCCAGGGGCTGGCAAGGTCAGGGCTTTATGAGGCTCACCCCAGGGTTGATCCACCTTTTCATCATCACAGTCCTCCGCCGGGCAAAGTCCCACAGCCTGAAAAATCAATGCACAATTAAATGCTGTTTTCCCAGAAATGTCAAATAAAGCAAACACCTCTATTTTTAGTGCCTGTCCAACCAGGGCAGCTCGTTTGCCTCGTGCTGCCCCTCCAGCTGGGCAGCAGAGTAACTGTCACCATCGATTGGGCCTTTCCCTTTATTACTAAGTATCTGCAGGAAGGAATCTCACAAAAGCTCAGTGCAGGGCTTGTTCACATTGGGTTAGATGCTGAACAAGCTAGAATGAGTCAGTCCGTGCCCCGGGGACTGCACTGTGTGCCTGCTGATGGTGTGTGTGTGTGTGCATGTGCACGGTTGTGATGATGGCATGTGTGTGTGTGCGCGCGTCTCTGTGTGTGTGTAGTACAATCAAAGCTATAAAATGGGCCCATGCTGACTACTAGCGATAGACCAGGGGAAATCCCCGTTTGACCACTGCCAAGAGAGCTTGACAGCTGCTTTTAGCTCATGCTAGAGACACTTGGCTTTAGCCCCACACTTGCAGGTTCAAGCCCTGCTACCAATGACCAGGGTCCGGCAGTTCGACTCGTTATACCAGAGAAGCCCTGGATGCAGGAGTCTATGAACGCCCTGCAGATTCACACAGAAAGGACATCAGGGCATTCAGCTAGAGCGCTGGCTCCAGCTTTTGTGCTAAGCTAGGCTGTGAACCTGGGGCAGAGACAATATGCCCAGACCACAGGGGACACTGTCCCAGGCTGAACCGTTCTGCAGCCAGGAACGGAGAAGGGTGGGGAGGGGAAACAAAGAACGGAATTTCTGTCCAGACAGTGGATGAGGAATCCAGAAGTGGCACATCTCTGTGACCAGCTCCGCCCCTGGTTGGGGTCCCTGCCGAGCAGTTACTACAGCTCCCACTAAATGAATCCATTCTGTTCTGCCCACGTTCATATCTCAGGAGCTCAGCACCTCCCAGGGCTGCAGGAAAGGCCTGACTGACAGCTGCCCTGTGTGGTGGTTTGTTTCCTCCGGCAGACAGAAAGGTGTGACATGCTGTGGTTTGGTTTGGGCCCACGCAGCTGGCACTAGGCCTGTCTGCCCCCCTCCTAGAGCCCTGCCCACGCTAGCTCGGCTGGTGGCAGAGCACTGACATGAAAGGGCAGCTGTGATCACATGCCTGACATGCTTGTTGCATGCTGGGGGCGGCCAGCCTCTCCCCTGGCCTGCCTGGCTGGTGCTCAAACTCAGTGATCACCAACTGGTCCATCATGATTGATTTAGATAGTTGGCCGCTCCCTGCCTGCCCTGACCCACATGGTGGCCAGTGTAGCCCCATCAGGGGGGAGGAGCCTCAGCAAGCCTCACCCATTTCAGCTCCCATTGGCTGAGATGGGAAACTGTGGCCAATGGGAGCTGATGGGCGGTGCTGGCAGAAAGGAGCAGTGTGTGGCTCCATGTGTCCCCTCTCCTTGCTTCCAGAGCCACAGAGGTTTGTTGGCCCCTTCAAGGAGCAGTGTGTGGAGCCCTGCGCAGATACAAATGTCTCCCCACAGACAGACATAGGTATTCACTGCTACCTGGAGACATTGTGTCAGAGCTCCCAGGAGCCAGTGCCCCATGCTGGCAGTGCCTCCTGGCCATGCAGCTGTAACACCCTCAACCCTACTGCAGTTGCGTTTCCTGCTTGGGGTCGCACAAGCCCTACTAGTAGCGGGGATGGAGATGCTGCAGATGCATGCCCAGGACCCCCTGCTGCACCCCCCAGCCCTCCACATCCCCTCCTGAACCTCAACCTCCTGCTCCAACCCTAACTCCCCTCCACAGCCAGAACACCTACCCCCCTGCACCCGAATCCTCTCCTGCACCTGCCACAGCCTTGACCCCCTCTCCAAGCCAGCACCCATACCTCTCTGGCCCAGCAAAAGTGAATGAGGGTGGGGACAACAAGCAACAGAGGGGGGGGGATGGAGTGAGTGGGTGGAGCTTTGGGAAGGAGTGGGGCCTCGGGGCACTGGCACCACTGAAGCGCATTAATGAAGATGCACTAAAGCGGCCGGTGAGTTCTCTCCCATTGGGGGAGCTAGTGATGTTGGGGAGAGATGCTCACCTGCTGACTGTGCTGTGCACACGGGGGGGGGAAGGATTGGGAGGGGTTGAGTGGTATAGATATGTCATGGGGGGGGTCACGCCACCAGCTGAGCCCTGACCTGAGCCTGGAAAAACAGTAGCCCCAGAATGACACTTGGTTCCCCAAACCTCCATGCTCCAAGTCAGGCCAAATGCAAAGGGCAGCACATCCACTGAACTCTAGGAACAGTTGGGGGACATCTCTTATGGCAGTGTGAGACAGGCGGAAGTGGTGTAAATTGCTCTCATGTTCTACAGTGCTTCCAGCAGGGAAGCAGGCTGGGGAAAGCATTTCTTTCAAAGAAAGATCCTGCCCAAAAGATCCCCTTGTACTCAGCCTGGCTCTTGAAGATGGATCCTGTTTCCCACAGAAATACAGAACTGTCTCCTTACCCTCTGTTCTGCTTGGATTTCAGTCCAAGTCCTTCTCGGTTGCAACAACAGGGTTGGTGAAGAAGAAGTCAAGGTTAGGGAAGGGCTTATCAAGCACTTTTAGGGGGCACTTGCCAAAGCCAATGGCATACAATTGTTTCCTTTCAAAACTCAGCAAACAAACAGAAGAGCAAGCGGTATTTCAGTCGGTTCTGTGTGTAGTGTCTCCAAAGCACACAGAGGGCTAGGGATTCTGAGGAGGCACTTCCTCCTAGGGAGGCCTTAAAATCTCCGCATCCAACTCAGCAGGAGCCGGTAATCTGAAACGCGTGCTGTTTAAATTGAAAGACGATTGTGAAAATAAAGGAGTAAATTCTCAAGCTGCCAAGCTTCCCACGTTCACTGAAGACCTCTGTCTGTCTTCCGGATAAACACGACCTCTTCCACAGTAACCTTAGAGTCCCAAAGGGAGTCCAAAGACAAGAGGGCAGGAAGAATAAAGGGTAGCTAAAACCTGCACAATTTGCCATTCAATCCAGCCAAGAAAATACAGGGGAATTGGTGTAATGGGCACTTTTTATGTGAGCTCTCAGTGTTTGCCACATAGGGTTCTTGTTTCAGGTGCTTGTCACTAGAATTTGTTGCATGCAGTAGAAGAGGCCCCTTGTGACTACGTCACTGCATGGCAAAGTGTGTTCTCCGTGTCCGTCCTCCCATGACCTGAGGAGATGAGCAGTGGCTGGATTACAAAAAGGGGTGATTCCATGGCCCTGGCAATGGATATGTGAGAGCCTGGCAGTACAGTAGGCACAAAGCAAACCTAAACGACAAAACATTTTGCAGCATAATACTTGAGGCTCCTTTACGCCGTGGAGGCATGTGCTTATGTACAGACCCTGGCACACTGCCAGCCTGGTCCAGTGTAACAGGCAAGAGGGGAAGGATGGTCAAGCTTTGCCAAAACCTGGCTCCAATTCCTGCTCCACCATAGGCTTTCTATGCCACCTGGAGCTACTCAGTAAGGGTCACATTTCACAGAACACTAGAACTGGAAGTGACCTTGAGAGGGCACAAAGTCCAGTCCCCTGCCCTCACATCAGGACCAAGCACCATCCAGATCATCCCTGATAGATGTCTATCCAACCTGCTCTTAAATATCTCCAATGATGAAGAATCCACAACTTCCCTAGGCAATTTATTCCAGTGTTTAACCAGCCTGACAGTTGGGAAGTTTTTCCTAATGTCCAACCTAAGTGTCCTTTGCTGCAATTTCAGCCCAATGATTCTTGTCCTATCTTCAGAGGTTATGAAGGACAGTTTTTCTCCCTCCACCTTATAGGTACTTGAAAGCTGCTATCATGCCCCCTCTCAGTCTTTTCTTTTCCAAAATAAATAAGCCCAATTCTTTCAGTCTTCCTTCATAGCTCATGTTTTCTAGACCTTTCATCATTTTTGTTGCTCTTCTCTGGACCTTCTCCAATTTCTCCACATCTTTCTTGAAATGTGGTGCCCAGAACTGGACACAATACTCCAACTGAGACCTAATCAGCACATGAGTGGAAGAATGATGTCTCATGTCTTGCTCACAATGCTCCTGTTAATGCATCAAGAATGATGTTTGCTTTTTTTGCAACAGTGTCACCTAAGTCACTTAAGACTATAGCTCATTGAAAATCTCTGGGATGTAGACTCCAAAGTGCCTAAATCCCTTCTGACAATGAGATGTGGCACGTAGGTTGGTTCTGTGCTTTTGAGAGTCGTATCCTTAGGCTCTCTGTGACTCAGTTCCCATCTGTCCAGGAAGGACCCAGCAGGCTCCTGTTGTGGGGGGAGGCTCAGACATTACAGTCATGGCACCAAACCCAGTGCATGTACAAACCAGGGCAGCAGATGTGGGATGGGAACTGGGAGGCAAGCAGCTACAAAGTCACAATATCACTGACTCCCATGAACATCAGCAGCAAGTCAGCTGAGTGGCAGGCTAATGACATTCCCTTTGTCCGCTCAAGGTGTATGCACAGTCCTCACAGGAAAACTGCCAAAGATCAGCCCTTATTAACAAAATAACACCCTCGGTGTCCTGCTCATTTACACTTAGGCTCTGACTGTGGACAGCAGCTTCGAGGCAGGAGGATGCCAGAGTGGAGGACAGAAGAACCTAACCATTATCCTTTGGATTCAGCCATGTGGATGCCCTGGAATCACCTACGCTGCTCAGAATCTTGTCTGAGCCTGTTTACAAGGTGATGTGGCCATGTTCTGCCTCAGCCAAGCTCACTGGAGCTGGTTTGCTTTCTCTGCACTGTGGGTGCTAAGGGTTGGCCTCACAGCCTGGCCCCACTTTTCACAGACTAGGTGTACTTTATACAGCTGCTTATTCCATTACAGCACCGGCATGGAGCCACGTCTGGCCCAGGAGGGTTGTTCTCTTGAAAATGAAACAAAATTTTTTCATGGAGCTGAATCATTTTTGCTTTTGGTTTGGGGGGGGGGGGGGGAAAATGTCTGAGATTCTGATTTGGGTTTTTTTGGTCCCAAACCAGGAAGAGGAAAAAATTGCAGGATGGGAAACTTGCTCCCTGGCCTGCTCTTAGGACAAGGGGAGGGATGGGCCTTACTTCCTGTGGGACCCCATCCCTGTTGCCCTGCTCTGCCTGCCAATGGACTTCACCCTGAGCTGGAGGAGACACTTTACTAGGGCAAGTGGGGGATGAGTATGTAGGCCGGTTGGTTCACCTGTAGGTTGCTAAGGGGTCTGTGCCATGGAAGTGCCCAACCAGTTCAGGATGGAGGCCCCAAAGACAGACCTGATGGCAGCAGCTTCCTGCTTCCAATGCTACCTGGGGCTAGATTGAACCCCTGCCTGTGAAGTCTGCCTGGCTGTACACAAAAGTGGCCCCACTGGGCTGAAGTGGTTCAGTTCCCGACTGTGGACTGAGTTATCCAGGTATGAAGATGCTTATTGACACCACCTATTCCTGTCAGGGTAGGAGACTAAACATCCTCAGCACATGGCATCTTTGTTCCAGGATAACTGCGTCCCTTCTAGGGTTTGTATCAGCATCACTACATGGGTAAAAAATTCACACCCCTTACGGATTTGGTTGTCAATTTTCTCCTCACATAAAACCAAACACCCTTGCCCCGCCCCTTCTCTGAGGGGGTGCAGGCGCTGGGGTGGGACTGGGGATGAGGGGTGGGGTTGGGCAGGAGGGTGCTTTGGGAGAATTGGAGGGGGAGAGGATCAGGGCTGGAGCGGGAGTTGGGGATTGGCGCCTGGAAGGAGACCAGGGGGGCCGGCTCTGGGCAGTGCTGACCTGAAGCAGCAGCATCTCCCCCTTCTTGCTCCTAGGCAGAGATATGGCCAGACAGCTCTGTGCAATCCCCAGCCAATGGGAGTGGTGGGGGCGGCGTGTAGAGCCTTCTAGTTGCCCCCCCCCAGGTAGGAGCCAGGGAAGGAACACGTCACTGATTCTGGGAGTGACATGGTGAGGTGGCCAGTAGCCTGCCAGCCCCACTGTGTGGCACCAACAACCGGACAGTCACAGCCTGGGCAATGTACTGACCACAGCTGCCAAGGTCCCTTTTTGACTGGTTGTTCTGATTGAAAACCAGACACCTGGTCACCCTACTTCATGTACAGCAGACCTTGAGCTCTGTCAGCCCTGCTTGGTTCCCATGGGAGCCAACCAGGAAGGGGTTTGGAAGCTTCCCCTAGGCCCAATTAAGAGAAATCTGTGCTCCATGTGGACCCAGCTTCGCACACTCAGTAGTACTTGTTCCTGAAAAAGATACGAATTTATCTTCCCACCCTACAAAACCCTCTCCCCCGTTTATTTTAATCTGCTCTGGTACATGTGGCTGTTGCTAACAATAAAGCAGTGCTGTGATTAGCCTTCCTCTAAATCAGCATGTTTCCCGTCTTACTGGGTGACGTGAGTCATGGTCAGCAGGCTTGGCAGCTGCAGGAATTCATTCACATTCAGATCATGCTGAAATCTTGCACAAGAATCATCAGGGTCAGCATGAGAAGGAACTGTATGGAGAAAAGATCAGAACAGAGACCAGAACCCCTGAGCACTGCTCCTGCCCTGCCCAGCACACAGCCAGCCCCAGCTCATAGAAGCATAGAATACTAGGGCTGGAAGGGACCTCAAGAGGTCATCGAGTCCAGTCCGCTGCCCCCATGGCAGGACCAAATACTGTCTAGACCATCCCTGATACACATTTCTCTAACCTGCTCTTAAATAGCTCCACAGATGGGAATTCCACAACCTCCCTGGGCAATTTATTCCAGTGTTTGACCACCCTGACAGTTAGGAACTTTTTCCTAATGTCCAACCTAAACCTCCCTTGCTGCAGTTTAAGCCCATTGCTTCTTGTCCTGCCCTCAGAAACCAAGGAGAACAAGTTTTCTTCCTCCTCCTTATGACACTCTTTTAGATACCTGGAAACTGCTATCATGTCCCCCATCAATCTTCTCTTTTCTAAACTAAACAAACCCAATTCCTTCAGCCTTCCCTCATAGGTCATGTTCTCTAGACCTTTAATCATTCTTGTTGCTCTTCTGTGAACCCTCTACAGTTTCTTCACATCTTTCTTGCAATGCGGCACCCAAACTGGACACAATCCTCCAACGGAGGCCTAATCAGCGCAGAGTAGAGCAGGAGACTGACTCCTCATGTCTTGCTCATGACACTCCTGTTAATGCATCTCAGAATCATATTTGCTTTCTTTGCAACAGCTTCACACATCTGACTCATCTTCTGCTTGTGGTCCACTATGATCCCTAGATCTCTTTCTGCCGTACTCCTACCCAGACAGTCGCTTCCCATTCTGTATGGCTGTGTCTAGACTGGCAAGTTTTTCCGCAAAATCATCTGCTTTTGCGGAAAAACTTGCCAGCTGTCTACAGCTGCTTGAATTTCCGTAAGATCGTCTGCTTTTCCGGAAATATTGTGCTACTCTCGTTCGGGCAAAAGTCTTTTTCTGAAAGACTTTTGCGCAAAAGGGCCAGTGTAGACAGCACAGTACTGTTTTCCGCAGAAAAGCCCCGATTGCGAAAATGGCGATCGGGGCTTTTTTGCGGAAAACCATGTCTAGATTGGCCCCGGACGCTTTTCCGCAAAAAGTGCTTTTGCGGAAAAGCATCCTGCCAATCTAGACATGCTTTTCCGAAAATGCTTTTTCGGAAAATCATGCCAGTGTAGACGTAGCCTATGTGTGAAACTGATTGTTCCTTCCTAAGTGGAGCACTTTGCATTTGTCTTTATTAAACTTCATCCTATTTACCTCAGACCATTTCTCCAATTTGTCCAGGTCATTTCGAATTATGACCCTATCCTCCAAAGCTCTGCAAAGAGACCTGCTGCAAAATTGCTGCATGCAACAAGAGGGAGCCAATGCTGTTTACAAGAGGCTGTCTATCCACGCAGTTACTGATATTTAGGGCTCTGCCAAACTCACAGCCATGAAAAATGCATCATGGACCATTAAATCTCATGTGGCCCTGTGAAATCTGGCCCTTTGTGTGCTTTTAGCTGATGCTTTACAGATTTCCCAGGGGAGACCAGCAGTTCTCAAAAGTGAGTTGCAGGGGGGTCATAAGTAGGGATGTAAAAATGGTTAGAAAACACTAACCGTGTAACCGATTCTGTTGCATGGGTAAACGGGTTCTGCAGGCTCCCGGTGCTGTTGGCGCTACAGCTTCTTGACCCCTGGGCTACTGTGCCTCTGGCCTCACAGGGTTCCAGCATCTCCTGGCCCTGCCGGTGCTGCAGGAGTTTAACTATTAACTGGAACCAATAAGCATGAGCTTATCAGGTAACCAGTTAAGCTCTTACAAGGTAAGGTTATTTAGGGGCACTGCAATATTAGGATTGTACGCCTGTGCTGAGTGGCTGGACAGCACCAGCTCCTGGCTGGATGCCTAGCTCTGCAGACAGCACCCTACCAGCAGCAGTGCAGAAGTATGGTTGGCAACACCATCTCATGCCACACTTATGCCTGCGCTGTGGCCTTCCACGCTGGATGGCTGGAGAGTGGCGGCTGCTAGCTGAGGGCCCAGTGGCAGGTAGTGCCAGCCACTGGAGACCTCACAGGGGCTGGGGCAGGGCTCCTCTTCCCCGGACAGTGGGATGGGGAAAAACCTTGCTGGTGATCTCCTCCCCAGGGGCTGGAGGGGCAGGCCCCAGGACTCACCCTGGGCTGAACTCAACTCCAGGAGTAGCTGGATGTACGACAGTTTGAAACTCACAATTTTAGCCATGGTGGCTTAGTCATCTGTGAACGAATGGATAAGAAACCAGCCCTGGATTAGACAGCCAAGTCATTGCGCATAGGAGACCACAACATAGATGCAGAGACTCACAGCTGAGCAAAATAAAGAACTACATTCACCAATGCTCAGAGCCAGGAATTTCATTCCCTTCCCCTCCCCGACTCCTTTCTTATTTACATGTTGGATGTTGGCAGCAGACTTGGTGGCTCATTCCTTCCACTCCTCATCTCAACCAACAGCCCAACAGCCCCCCAAAGGAAAACCTAGGTGCATTCCAGTAAAGAATGGGGACTGGAACGGGAAACTGCTCTCTTGCACCCCATTCTTATCCACAGACCCAGCCCCTCCATTCTGTCTCTCTCCATCCCATTACCACCCACTGGCTGTGTCTAGACTGCATCCCTTTCCCATAAAAGGGATGCAAATTAGACACATCACAATTGCAAATGAAGCGGGGATTTAAATCCCCCCCGCTTCATTAGCATAAAAATGGCTGCCTCTTTTTTCCGGCTCAGAGCTTTGCTGGAAAAAAGCGCCAGTCTAGACGCAGATCTTTCAGAAAATAAAGCCTTTTCCGAAAGATCCCTTATCCTCACTTCATTTGCAATTGCGATATGTCTAATTTGCATCCCTTTTACGGAAAAGGGATGCGGTCTAGACACAGCCACTCTGCTCTGAGGCATTTGTTTTGTGTTCTTTTCCTTCTGCTGTCTCCTTTCTTTTCCCATCTCCTCCTTTGTCCTGGCCCACCCCTCAGATCCTCCAAGTGTTCCGGGATCTGGAGAGATGGTTTCCAGGGCACCGAGTCAGATGGCAAGAACTGAGCAAGAATTAACCCAGCAAAAATTAGAAAGGTGTCCTCAAGCTGATGGCAAACTGCAGGGATAGGACACGTATTGGTGGCAGCGGTGTGTGTCTGCACATGCTAAACAAGCAGGAAGTAAGAGAAGCAGATGTGAGTGGCACTGGAGGAAGTGGACAGAGACAGAGTGTCTTTTGGGCACAGGACTCCTTGTAGAGTCAGACTGCAACCAAGGAAACTGCTGCTGTTGTTTGTTTCTACTGTGTGCAGGGAACTAGAACAGTGTTTCTCAACCAGTGGTACGAGTACCCATAGGGTTACTCTAGAGAAATCTGGGGGGGTATGCCAACACAACTGAAATTTGGAGAAAACTGAATTTTTGTATTAAGTTTTTACAGAGCTTTATTATTTTTGTACTTTTTACACCCAAAAATTTTATCGCCTGTCCAGCTACAATTAAGTTGTTTAAACAAATGTGTTGCAATGGTAGAAAAAAAATGTGTGTGTCTGAAAACTAGGTACTTATAATTTGTTTATTTAAAAAGGGGTACTTTATAAAAAAAAAGTTGAGAAACACTGAATTAGAACAGTGTAAACAAATAGGACCATATGGAAGCAATGCCTGAGTCAGCAGTTTATCCTCTTGCCAAATAACCAGGCAATGCCTTCAACCCTGGCTGACTCAATGGGGTTCAAACCTTCTGAGCTGTCCCTCCCCACTTCCTGTGAATTACACTTTTTGGTGGCTCCCCTCACATAACCAGACAAAAATGGACAATACTGGCTCTTCCCCGCTCAGTGGCTCAGGGTGGGGCAAGGCACATGCGATGGTCTCTGGGGCAGCCAGGGCCAGGCAGAGGGGCTTCTGGGAGTGGAAATTGGTGCGACCATGGTGGTTGACACTGAACAACAGGTTGGGTGACCCCCTGAAGTGAGCCAGGGTGGAGGTGCCTCCTCACCCAAGTCCCGGCTGCCAGATAATGCCACTGGCCCCCCAATATTCTTTCATCATCCCTAGGCGCCATGCCCCTCCCCGTTTGAAAACCTGGGCTGCCTCGGATTCAAGCTTGATTGATGAAGATAATTTATTTACACATATGCAAGGCTGGGGAAGGTGAGTGGGCCCCTGGCGGGCAGGGACATATGTGAACTCCGGTTGTCCCCCTCCCCCGCTCCTTTGGGCTTTGGAACACCCCCCGCGCCAGGCCGGGGACTCCCCCCGCGCCTCCTCCAGCTCCACAAGACAAACCCGACCCCGAGCTCCTGGGGCGCAGGGGACCCGGACCTGTAACCTGTCAGGACAGGACAAGCCGGGGCTCCTGAGCCGGCGCAGTCCCGCTCGCCCTGTGCCCGGCTGGGCAGGAGGGGAAAGCGGAGCCGCTCCCACGGCACTCCCTCCCCATTATGCAAAGCAGCGCGGCGAGGTGCGCGGGAGGCTATAAAAGGGGAGGGGGCACGGCCGGGCGCCCAAGCGAAGC